CCGCGCCACGCGAGGCTCTTCCCTAGGGCGGCGAGGGGGCGGGCTGGGGGCACCCCACGCTGCTGGAGCTAAGGGATGCTGACTGGAAGCGGTTTCCATTATATCCAGGGCTTGCAGTTTGGGTCAGCGGCTCTCAGCACCCCGCCCCTAAGTACCAGCCCCCTTGGGTGCTGCCACCCACCTACCCCTGGATCCCACCATCCAACCCTGGCTGGGAGGCAGGTAGCTGCTGGGTGTGGGGAGGACGGGGCTGGGAATCTCCCCCGCTTCAGGCCGGTGCAGCGACACAAAAACGGAGAGGTTTCACTTTTTGCCTATCCACCGGCCGCCCCAAACGGGGGTTACAGCCCGGTGGTTTGTACAGAGCTGCCCTGCAGGCAGCAGCTCCATACAAACCACCTGCATGAGCTCAGAGGGCGCCTATTGACCAGCCCAGCAGCAGCGGTATGTGCATTAGAAACGCGGTCACTCCAGCCCCGCAGGCTGGTTCCCAAGAGCACGGCGGCTGTCGACCTGTCCTAGGCTTTTTCCAGGGCTCCCCTGCCCCACAACTCAACGCGGTCACTCCAGCCCCGCAGGCTGGTTCCCAAGAGCACGGCGGCTGTCGACCTGTCCTAGGCTTTTTCCAGGGCTCCCCTGCCCCACAACTCATACAAACTTGCGTCTCTGCGTCCTCCTGAAAGGAGGAGACTGAACAGGCCGGCGAGCGGGGAAGGGACACGCAAAGCTTTCTGGGGATTGAAGTCCTGCGCCAGCGTGCACCGATCCCAGCTCTGCGTGCGCGGCGTGGATTTTTAGTCCACCCGCGCCTCACGGGCTACTCTCTGCTCGTGTTCCACTCGGTCACACGCCCCTCCCCAGTGCTGGTACGTTAGCAGCGAGGCGTGGCTCAGCTGCGTTTGCCAGAGAAGCAAGAAGTCACCTTCCCAGATTCCATCCGTGCTAAGTGGTTTAGCCTTGTATTTATTGCACGCCCTGTGTGCTGCATTTTGAATTCACACCAACCCCCTAGGAGCTATAGACTCACTGATTTAAGGGAGAAGAGCAAACACCACGTTAATTTAACGAAACAGGTTTACCATCTTGCGGCATAACACTTTCATTTTACTGTAATATTGCATTCAAAGTTGGGGGGGGGGTTGGTTGCCTTTACAATTTTAAAAAGAAGGGACAAAATAAGAATTGCTAAAA